ATATATATATATATTTACTTAAAAATTGGGCCCGATATCATACATATCACTTTCGTTTGATGATTACGTGCTGCTGTGAACACTTAAATCCATGGCTCGGTGGTTCATAAAACACTTAGTTTAGGCTGGGCAACCCAAGTCTCAAGATAATTTGATGGTCCATAGTCAAGCCTTTCATCTTTACCAAAGCCCAGTAGCAAGCCAAGAACTGTTTCTCAAAAGGGAAGTGGTTAACTATGGAGGATGGAAGGACTATGCTTCAAAATCCTAAGGGAATGCACCAAATTTCACCTATAGGGGCCTTCCAAAGGTTCCAAACCAAATCCCTATGCTTCAATGACACCTCAAGCACTATTGTATCTACTGAATCATATCACCCCGAGGGTACAGCAGCCTCTACAATAGTTGGGACCTACTGTAGAATCTTCTCTTATATGGAACCTCATCTAAGCTAGCAGCTTTTAGTCACCTGATAAATGGATTGAAATAACACACCCAAATGAGGGGACAACTGCAATAGCATATCATTCACCTTGGAAGGTGTTATCTCACTCAACACACCCCATACCACAGATTTACTTCTCACCTTTTGACATGCAAATACCTTACCAATGAGTCTACAGTAGTTGCTAATTCTTTTACCAGAGGTGACAGACCCAGCTGATAATTCAGTAATATTTAAAATTTTAATTTAATAATAATTTTATTTCCCAAGAATTTTCTCTGCTATCAGAATGTTTGCTTAAACTTTATCTTGATATATTTCTCCTTTGACTCACTAAAGCTTAAAGCACATTTTTTGTAATATTGCTATTTGTATACTGAAGATATTATTCAACCATATAAGTTCTATAATATTTTTTACTATTTCCTCTCATTTATATAAATGACATTCTGACAAAATATATTCTCTGTTTATATGTGACATTTTGAAAAGTAAAAATGAGAATGAGCAATACAATACAATGATAATTTCTGAAATGGCTATTTTAATGTATCTTATGTGATCATTTGTAAATCTACATATGTCTGCACTATAAGCATTCCCCCAAAGAAAAGACTGACCTTTTACTTTATACATGTGCAACTTTCTGAATCAGATTTTATTATCCTTTTTTCTCCACTAGACACAGGATATACTGCTCATGATCATAAACCACCAAAATCCATAAATAATACTATTTGCCATTTGTAAACCAAGGAGCTTTGATGAAAAACTTTTTTACAAGAGCCTAAAAAGAACTAAGACGGGAGTCAGCTTGTGGCCTGGTTATTAAGGGGCGGTGGGTTCCACATGACCCGCTGCATGGTTCAAGCCTTAGATCCCATGGCGTGACAATCACACTGAGCACCTGTATGTGCGTGTCCAAATTACCCAAGAGAGGGAGGAATTGAGAAGGGATTGTGGCATGACCATTCTCCGTAGGGAATGCTTTTCCCTTTCCCTCTATCTCTGTCTCTGTGACTCTCTGGAGAGAGTACATGCCCTTTGGCAAATTAAAAACAAGATGGATACCCATATTTCTTATTACTTGTTTCTAAATATTTACTTCTGGTTTAGCCAACATTGACTTTCTATGATTATCTATGCATATGCACAGACACACAATATACATTTTTAAAAATTACATTGATTGGTGGGTAAGCAGATGGTTGTTAATGGCTTTAAAAATGTTTAAATTGTATACTGATTCATTAATACAACTGTAAAATTCAATATTAAAGCACGGCTAAAGAAAGTCAGCAGCTTCACTTACTAAACCCATAAAAATTAACAAGTAAACATAGAAAAACTTAATTGCCAAATTATTTATGGTTCTCTCCTTAGCATAAATATTTTTACAGTTGCCTGTGTATTTCCAGACAGATCTGGCAAGAGATGAAATAAATCAATCTAATTAGAAAATATAGAAATCATTTCTCTAGCCAATGTCCGATTAGAATGTGTGCAGAGTAATGGTCACTAATACAGATCTGTACTTAGTGGCATTGAGACAGAGGGGGAGCTCATGGTATTGGGGTTCAGGGACAAACAATGGCTTAACAGTTTTATGTAATTAAGGTTAAGGTTTGTATATTTATCATTTTCTGAAACAGACTTGAAAATTCGGAAGCTTAAGAAAAAGATCATGAGAAAAGCAACATACGGTAATAGTTTTCAAAAAGTATTTTAATAATCTTATTCATCATCTATGGCAGAAATAGAGAAGGAAAAAAAAATCTGACTAGTAAGTTCCTTTCTTTTGCTTTTTGAAAAGGTTTTGAGTCAAAGGACAAAAACCTGAAAGGGTGAACTGTGAGGTGAAAGTCCTTCTGCTAGTTGGAGACTAGAACAGGAATACTTAGAAGTAATGGCTAATTATGACCAAAAAAAAAAAAATGGAGAGACCTGACTAAAGGCCTCGTGAACTCCCAGCTTTAGCAAAGAGTATGTGTATCTTTTCTTATTCTCTTCTTTTCAGTGGTAGGAAGAAAAAAGAACACAATTTTCTACTTTGTGCATCAGAGCAAAAATATCTCAGGAGTGCATTTTGCTTTTTCTTTACTTTGTCTTCAATAATATATATGTGTGCTGCTTTTTAATGTGTTCTTTCCAAGGTGTTCTTCCTGATTGAAGAGTGATACTCAGAAGACTTTCAAAATGGAACGAATGAGTAATTTGGGTCCCATACTTAGGAGCATTCAAAGTTAGAGCATGTTCAAATCAGAGAGTAAAAAAAACAAACACTCCATTAAAGTAGTTACCTTTGACACTAGCCATTAAATTGGAGGGCTAAATAAATTAGAGTTATTGGCTTATAACTAAAGTTATTAAGTTACCATTATATTAGTATGCATAATTAGGGTGGCAACATAATTTCTTATCTAAACTGGGTCTCTAAAGGTGAAGAGGGGAGGAATGGTTGCTTAACTAGTTAGGACATCAAGAAAATAACAGAAGAGTAAAGTAGAATACAGGTATGAGGGTCCCACATACACAGGCAATTTCCCACCCTTTGTATATTTATTTTGCTGTCCTAACGTCTGTGGCATGTTGACAGTCAGCCTGAGTGGCATCTCAATCTGAAATCTATTGGTAACTCCGTAGCTTCTCTCCTTCTTATTATCTGTGCTTTTCCCCTCAGTAGGCCGATCACATCATAACAACTGTTCTTGGTGGCACGCATCAGCATTTTAAACTTTCTCTGTTTTATTAGAAAATAGATGCATTTTCCATCAGACTAGGCTTGTTTGTTTTCACTTGCTGAAAATAAACACATCGAAAACAGAACAAAAAAAATGATTGCATAGTTTCTTTATTTATAAACAGCTAAAAATGAGACACTCTTGGAATTTCTGCCAGAAAATGAAAGCAAATATGTATAATTCCAAGTATCTAAAAGTTTGTTATCATTGTCTCAGACACAAATCTCTAGAATATCCTCATTTTTTTAACAGTTAATACTGTGAAAATTCCTATCTAGGCTTTTCCGGAGACAGATGAGAAATGGTTCATTTAAAAACTTTACATTGATTTCTCATCCGAATACAGTCTGACTGATAAAATTGACTTCTCTTCCTCTTATGTATGTATTATTCAGTGAAAAGAGATTTCTTGATAAGTTAACAGTGAATTCCTGCAGTCTAGTTGAATATTATTGTTCAAATATCAATTTGATAATAAAGATCATAGATATTTGTGTATTTCCTTTGATGAAGACTCGACTCCCGTTTTTTTTTCTTTCTTTTTTTTTCCTCAAAGAAGAAAGAAATGGGCCTTCTCCAAATTACTACAGTGAGAAAAAGAATTACACTCACACATAGTAGTTACAGCCCTGAGTTCACTATGTTGGAGTTGTAAGTAGATCCTACAAACATAAGCAGTAAACTATTTCAAAAAAACAATTAACATTTCATTGAGAGCTGTCAATAACTTCACATAGAATTACTCTATGAAACCTGAATTTAAGTTGGAGTAGATGTGAATATATTCATCTCATGTTTGAATTAGCAGTTTATGTTGATGAGAAGTGTTCTATTAATGAATATGAGAATACTAAAAACTCCTCACCAAAATCTGCTGAGGAGGCTGGGTGAGATCAAATGGCTGGGGAGAACTGAGAGAAGGCCTTGGGGAAAAGATGCCTTAGAAAATGACTGAAAATTTAGACACTGTTCTGTTAGTAAAGTTGGGGGTGGGAAGAGCATCTCAGGGAGATGCAGCCCTAACCTTGGATATAGTGATTGCGACCTCTCGTACCTGTGTGGTGTGAGAAAGAAATATGAAGAGTCCGGGTATCTGGCACAGGAGTGAGGAAAGAGAATCTCCTCTGGCATATCCCCTGGACAATAGGTTTCTTTTCCCCCTTCCTAGTTCACTGAGTCACTCAGGCTGAGGTTAGTACTTGCTACATAGAGTCCAGTCCATTTGATCACCTGTTTTCTGAGTTGAGCCACCTAAAAGTCTTCCTCACCCTTTCTTCCAGAGTCTCTCTCTCTCTACCAATCAAATCCAACTTTTTAATCACCAGAGCACATGTGTGCTTGCCAGAGAGAGAAGGAAGACAGACAGGGAGAGAGGGAGAGAGGGAGAGAGGGAGAGAGGGAGGGAGGGAGGGAGGGAGGGAGAGAAAGGAAAATGTACTCCCCTATGTGGCACGGTCATACTGCAATCCCTTCTCCTCCATTTCTGCCTCCTGTTGGGACTTACAGCACACATGGACATGTGTCCTGTGTGGTTCTCAAGCCCTCAGAGGTTGGAATTTGAACTACAGTGGGCAGTTTATGATCTGGCTCCCTTAACCACTAGTCTATGGAGCTAGTCTTCATTTTTCACAATGCACTTCAGGTATTTTTTTCTAAAATATACATCTGATCATGTCACTTTCCTACTGAAAATTATTCAATAGTTTCTTATCACCTATGAGCTCTGAACTCATTACAATGAATTATCTGTACCTATTGTACAAACTTGGTCATGCCAAACTCCCCCTGGTTCCCCTAATCCTTACTAGCTTCTGTCCCTGATTTGGTAATGTTGGACCTGTATTAAGCATGCTCCAGATTTTTACACACATGTCATTTTATTTATTCATTAATTCACTATGTCTTAGGTCTCCTCAAAATGTGTACAGAGAAGTGCTAGGACAGGGGAGAGAACAGTGAACAAAGCAGCTACCATCTCTGACCTCAAGAACCTCACTGACCAGCTACTCCCCTACCACCCTCTGATGGGTTAAATTCTTCTTTCCCGGTTTCCCCATGGAGCCCTGTGCATACTTCTATCTTAATCCTCATAAAAATGCAGTGAAATAGCCTGTATTTTTATGAGAATTAAATCCTCCTGTTATCCCAAAGTCCATGAGATCCCTAAGGGGCAGTGTCTAAATTATTTTTTATCTGTACACCCTGCACATGACACAGTTCTAAAAAAATGTGATGAATTGAGAAGTGCCTACATGGTATTTTGAAAAATATATAAAGATGACTGTCAGTAACATAAAATATTTTGGTTTTAAAACAACAGCTAATGGTTAGGATTTTATATACAAGACCAGAATTAATCTAAAATTTGAGAAACCTTAGAGAAGAATAAAAATGTAAAATATACCCAAGAAGAGAAAAACTGCACTAAGGAAAAGCTAGCTGTCATAGACATACAAAAAATGAAATAAGTCCAGAGAGAAATAACGTGAAACGTAGACAACATTAAGGAAATGGAGATGAAATAATTGAAATGTAAACCACACTGAACATCTTGTTATTAAGCGAACAACTCAAAGCAAGGACATGAAGTGTTACAGGATGGATGAATGCTGATGAGAAACGATGATGTGTCATCAGTCAGTGAGAGAAAAATGAAGATAATTTAGTACAGAACATTAAGGACAAGAAATGCTTAAATGAAAATATGGAGACTTGAGTTTGGCTGAAGAATATAACAGAGAAAGATATTAAAAGGGAAAAAAGATACCTCATCTATATGTTTAAGTAAGTTCTGGATAAACTCTAGCCCAGAGGCTCTGCGCTAAGTAAATGCAAAGGGTAATTTTTCAGTGCTTCATGTTGCTTGGGTTCTGGTACAGAGTATTAGCAGTAAGTTTGAAGGGGAATAACATAGGAGACAGCATAAACAAGGATCAGATTTAATGCAAGCAGAAGTGTTCAACTATTGGGACCAGCAGCTGGCCTAATGGCTATGTCTCTGGACTCCCATGTAGTTGACCACAGTTCGAGTCCTGGACCTACCTGGTGGCTTAAACTCATGCCGGAGATGTGTGCATGTGTGCCCAAGGTCCCAAGAGGAGAATGAAGGAGAAGGGATTGTGGCATAACCATCCTCCATGGGGGGTGATTTCTCTCTTTCTGTCTCTCTGTCTCTGTCTTTCTGAGGAGTGCACATGCCTTAGAGCAAAAACCTCTCAAAACAAAAAGAAAAGAAAAAAGAAGTGTTCAAGTATCTTGCAGATGAGAATGATTCAGGCAGCATAAGTGCAGGGAATTGCAGCAGTAAGATGTTGGACAGAGGGAAGATCATTATGCCCCTGAGAGACGAAGACAAAGGGGGATAGTCAGGCAAGGTCCAGGAGAGACGTGGGGAAGTGGCACTGAGAAAAGTGAATTGGAGAACTCTCAGGTGTAGGCTTCTAGGAGTTAAGTGGGAGCATCTCATCTGGCTACAGGGAAAATGGAGAACTGAATCATTTTCCTATCTTTTTGATCGCTAGCTTTTGAGTTTTATAATTGCTATTGGGTGAAAACAAAAAGAAGAGGCCTCTGTGGGCACTGTGGGAGGAGAGTGGGAGATGGCAGAGGGTAAGAGATAGAGAATTAAGGATGGGAAAAAAAAGCAAAACACACAAGAAACAAGAAATGGAAAATTATTTGTTGATGATAACATGTATGTTGATTTGCTTGGTTGAGCCAATATACAGTGTACTCTGGATGGAAAATCTCATTTTGTATGCGGTAATGATGTACAGTGAATGAATGTAAATAAATTTAAATTAAAAAAAAGAAACACTTTTTAGTTTCAAGGCAAAGTATACCTGAATATGTAAGAATGGGATTAAAAGAACAACTTACAGTGAAATTAGAATAAAAACTGTCCATAAAATAACGGCCAGAAACACAAATACCGAGGGCAGAACTTTGATTGGTGGCAAATGATGATTAAAAAGTGGGAGAATTAGTGAAAAGATTTGCAACTCCTTCAGAGCCTTCAAAAAAGTAATTTTTTTTGAGAGATATTTTTTCATAGGGCACGTGCACTCGCCAGACAGACAGAGAGAGACATAGAGACAGAAAGC